ACGTGAATCGGCTTGCTTTAAAAGCGCTTTTTAAAGCGCCCTTTTTTCTCCGCGGTTGTTGTTGTTGCGCTGCTGATGACGTCAGCGACGCACTTTAATCCGGCGCGCTTTAGTGGACCGCGGTTTTGTCGTGCCACGATTAGAATTAATAGAATTGGAATTGGGAGGGAATGGAATGGAAGGGAAGGGAAGGGAAGAGAAGGCATCAGCTTGGTATAGTGATTAACATGCTGACTTAGAAACCAGGAGACTGTGAGTTCCAGTCCTACCTTAGCCATAAAAGTGACCTTGGGCCAATCACTATTTTTGACTTATTAAATTAGATGCCATTATTCTCACTGGCAGAAGGGAAGGGGAGGGTTGCTAGAATTAGGTATGGCTAGTCCAGAGGAAAAAGGGGCTGGGGGTAACATGATAGCATCTCCCTCCAGAAGCTGTGAATGCTCCATCCCTGGAGGTTATAAAGAAGAGATTGGATAACCATTTGTCTGAAACGGTATAGGGTTTCCTGCCTGAGCAGGGGGTTGGACTAGAAGACCTCCAAGGTCCCTTCCAACTCTGTTATACAATAACAGATGGAGATACTTACCCGGTCAGCGACCGTGTTGCTGAAGATCATCTCATGGACGCTGTTCGAATATTTGGGGGCGCACAGCCTGCTGGCCGCCGTATTCACCGCGACCGAGAGGGCCAGGCTGCGTCCGTGCCTCACCATCCAGTCAATGCCGGAGACATCCGCTGTGGAACAAAAGGAGGATGGTCCTTGAGCCCAGCACCACAACTGTCCTTTCCCAATATCACCGTGCCAAGAAAAAAAACGACTAGTTATTTACACCTTTTATAGTTGGTGTCCAAAACTGAGGAAATGAACATTAATATTAATAAAAAAGTCACCTTACAGGTTGTCCTTGGCTTACAATTACTCAGTTAGTGACTGTTCAAAGTTACAATTGCAACTGAAAGACCGTTTCATGAGTGCAGAGGAAAGCAACAAGGATGATTAGGGGACTGGAGGCTAAAACATAGGAAGAACGGTTGCTGGAATTGGGTATGTCTAATTTAATGAAAAGAAGGACCAGGGGAGACATGATAGCAGCCTTCCAATATCTCAGGCATTGCCCCAAAG